TACTGCTTCTTGTGCGTGAACACCCAAAAGAGTCAATCAGACTGACCCTAAACTAATGTGCAATGAAATTTAATGATCGTCTCAGAGTGAAACCTGAGCCCGTTTAGTTGAACACAATGCAGGAATTGAAGAAAGACACACACACAAATATCATCGTTACCAGCTCTGGGCCTCATTTTAGTGCTTCTTATGTGTAAACACCCAAAGAAGTCATTCACACTGACCCTAAAAAATTAGTAATTAAAGATAATAATTTTCTCACTGTGATATCTGGGCCCGTTTAGTTGAACAGATTGCAGGAATTGAGGAAAGACATGCAAAAATATTGTGTTAACCAGCTCTGGTTTGCTAAAGTTGTGCCTCATTTTACTGCTTCTTGTGCGTGAAAACCCAAAAGAGTCAATCAGACTGACCCTAAACTAATGTGCAATGAAATTTAATGATCTTCTCAGAGTGAAACCTGGGCCTGTTTAGTTAAACAGATTGCAGGAATTGAGGAAAGACATGCAAAAATATTGTGTTAACCAGCTCTGGTTTGCTAAAGTTGTGCCTCATTTTACTGCTTCTGGTGCGTAAACACCCGAAAAAGTCAATCAGACTGACCCTAAAATAATGTGCAATGAAATTTAATGATCTTCTCAGAGTGAAACCTGGGTCTGTTTAGTTGATCACAATGCAGGAATTGAAGAAAGACACACAAAAAATGTCATTGTTAACCAGCTCTGGGCCTCATTTTAGTGCATCTTATGCGTAAACACTTGAAGAAGTCATTCACTCTGACCCTAAAAAAATTAGTAATTAAATATAATCATTTTCTCACTGTGATATCTGGGTCCATTTAGTTGAACAGATTGCAGGAATTTAAGAAAGACACAAAAAATATAATTGTTAACCAGATCTGGTTTGCTAAAGTTTGCAAAAAATATTGTGTTAACCAGCTCTGGTTTGCTAAAGTTGTGCCTCATTTTACTGTTTCTTGTGCGTGAAAACCCGAAAAAGTCAACCAGACTGACCCTAAAATAATGTGCAATGAAATTTAATGATCTTCTCAGAGTGAAAGCTGGGCCTGTTTAGTTGAACAGATTGCAGGAATTGAGGAAAGACATACAAAAATATTGTGTTAACCAGATCTGGTTTGCTAAAGTTGTGCCTCATTTTACTGTTTCTTGTGCGTAAACATCCGAAAAACCACAGTCATTCAGACCGTCCCAAGATGTGACATGAATTCTCAATCCGTCCCGGGTGTTTTTCTTTGTCAGCTCAGCACAACGACGCTGCTAACGCTGACTGATACTGAGCCCCGCTGTGGGAAGGAGACACACGGTTTTCATAAGACCATTAATCTTAAAAGGAGCAACTGTCAGGGACCATAGAGCGCCCCTATCCCAGACATAAACAAGGCACATTCAAGGCCTTGATTTCTGGTTTGGCGGAAAATGATATCACACTACGTCTGATAGAAGGGCCTTGAAAGTGGCTCCGCAGAACTTTCCACTTTGGATCTGGTGTTTTTAAGCTGACATGTGAAGAATTAGAGTGCAATTCGTGACGCACGTCTATATTCAGAGTGAAAGTCGTAATTCATCGTAGTGACGGGTAATAAACGTGGCAAAAAAATGCGACGAAAAATGATGAGTTAACCCGACCGTGTCGGACAGTTTAAAAAAAAACAAACAAACACATGATTTCATCCAATTACTGCGTCTCAACAACGTCAGTATTTCCGGCGGCTGTTCGTTATTTCTCAGTCGACCAGAACAGATGTGACGCGAGGCCATTGGCTGAATCAGAATTTATTCCTTGTAAAATCTGAAAATCGGACATATTAAAACAAGAGGGCGCTGCAGATGAATATCCGTGGGGGAAACGCCGCGGCCTCATTTTTCAATTTACAGTCATGTGCACCGCAGTTCGACTCCTGGGTCTTTATCTAGATGGCGCTAAATTAAATCCATGTTCGATGGAGAGATAAGTCACACGGTGAATCTTTTATTGCCCCGATAGCTGATGGTTAACATGTGGACCACAGCGTTATCTCCCCCAGAAAGGGATGTCATCTAAGTGGAGTTATTGTTGCCGCTTGGACTGAGACAGAGGTTTGATCCTAATCAGGTGCATCGTGATAACTGCAGCCTCGTTCTTCAGTCGAATGAACCACAATTGTGCATGAAATGACACGGTCACGGCGGAAAATGCTACCAAGACACAGTCACGGAAACCCCGCACATTAGCATGTAGCTAACGTTCTCGGCAACCGAGAGAGAACCGAGCAGAATCTGATTGGTTAGTCAATAACCGGGTCAGCGTTTCCAAATCTTCAAAACAAACAAAACTGTCCAAAAAAAGTAAACGTAGTGAAATAGAACGACTGGGTCTGTTTAGTTGAACATGACGCAGGAATTGAAGAAAGACACAAAAATCTGAGTCTTTTTTGTTTGGTAGTTTTTTAAAGCCATCTGCTGCCACCTAGTGGATTAGTATTTCATTGTTCTCCTTGGCGTCTTGTTGACAACACAGACACTTGTTTTCAGCAAAACGATATTAGTTTTTAGACTAATATTAGTTAGGTGACAGTGGATCACCACACCACAGCACCACCTAGTGATCGCTGTGATGTGTTTGGGAATCACCCACGTGTACATGCATTAGTCAGTTAGTTGGTGCATTAGATGCGTTTAACTCCAACATCTTCACAGATAAAGTACCGGTCCTGGTACCGGTCCTGGTACTGGCACTGGGCGACCTCCTGCCTGTGGTCACATGGTCCGTATGACCTGATTGACCCCTAAACTGAACAACAGTACCAAAGTTAACCCCCCGCCCCCAACTCCAAACACTTTCCCTGTCGAGTCCTGTTGAGTTTGGCTTTTATTACCGATGATGTTAAAAAATAAGGTGCGGGGTCCACATCAGGCCCACTAGTAGGTCTCATTTGGCCCCTCATATAACAGTGAGCTGTCGTTTCCTCTTCTTGTTGATTTCATATCAACAAGATCGTCATCATCAGGCAGAACCCAAAGGTGCTACCAGGGAGACGTTCTTCAGGTGCAGCAGGTTTATTAACAAAGTCCAACTTAACAAAAAAAAAAAAAAAAAAAACTACCACGAGGCCTGGAATTCTCTTTGTAACATGGAATACTAGGAAACACAGAACAAACACAGAACAATGATCCATCCAAGACAGAGTGAAGGAGGTATTTATACCCAGGGCACCAGGTGACGCCAGTGAGACTAATGACGGAGACACAGGTGAGTGTGACGACACTGACTCCTACCAGCAGACCAGACAGGAAGTGGAAACACAGGCACAGACACAGACAGGAAGTGGAAACACAGACACAGACACAAACAGGAAGTGGAAACACAGACACAGACACAGACAGTTCATATAGTATTTGTTTGCAGCTCAGGTTTTTTTTTTGTTATATTTTGTAGATGTATTCACTTCGGATACTTTTACATAGTAAATCATAAATACTGCTGATGAAGTATTGCAGTAATTTCCTGTATTATTATACAGTGCACACTGACAATGTAAATTTAAAATATAAATATTCTTCCCAAAAATGCAATTTCACGTATGATGTGTATTTAAAAAAAATAAAATAAAATAAAAACAAAAATGCAATTTCACATATGATGTGTATTTTAAAAAAAAAAAATAAAATAAAAATAATGTTAAAAAAGAAATGGTAGATTTATTATTGTGGTAGCAGAGCTTCTGTATCTCAGACGTTTGTTGTCGGGGTGTGAACACGTGGGACTGATTCCAGTCCTGATCCGTTTCAGACTCAGCTGTGTTGGACTTGGATTTTTTTTTTCTTTTCTTTTTCTTCCCCACATTCAGTTAGAAACACAGCTTCCCAGAATAAAGTCATCTTCCGTGAGGACACCTGAGGACACCTGAGGACACCTAAGGACACCCGAGGACACCTGAGGACACCCGAGGACCCCCGAGGATTTAAGGTCAGTGTCTTTGACTGAGAGTCAGTCAGGATCCGGTTTGAAACCTTCTCTATATTTTTTTAATTTTTTATTCTATCCCATTCTTTCCTTCAGGATTTAAATGTTTCAGTTTCTCAGATGCAGTAAAGTTTTTTTCTTTTTTATTTCCCAGACTGACATTCTGACTTCAAGGTGGGGCCTGTGTTCTTTGGGCGCCAAGTCTCTCCCTTCTAAAAGTTCTACTTTTGACTCTTCTGATCAATCAATAACCCGACCCCGGGGCCCCGTCCTCCTCCTCCTCCTCAGGACTCCCACCTCCTCTCACGGCACACGTGACCTACGCATCATCAGGGCAGTCGGTCACAAACAGGTACCGAGTCACAGTAAAGGTGTCACGTGACCCAACACTCATTAGACGGGTTCTGCAGTTCAGCTCTGTGAAAGGAACCACGAGCCCCTCCCCCTGGTCAAAATACACATCAGCACCTCTGCATCAGATAGGTCTGTGTGTGTGTGTGTGTGTGTGTGTGTGTGTCAGTGACTCATTGGTTCATTTGGATGATTAAAATTAAAAAAACAAAATTTACATCGGGTTTTTTTGACCCGACGAAGACCGACATTTACGGTACCGTTCCACCGGAACCAAAAAATATTTGTCACAAAGATTAGTCACAAACATTAAAGTGAAGAATCAAAAGGTAATAAATATATATATTTACATATATTTATCCTACAACATAATTTCACATATATTTTTCCTTGTACTAACGTACAGCCAGGTGTCGGCGCTATAACAGCAAAAAAAAAACAGCAGTCGAACTCAACTATATATGTTTCCTCTGTCTTTATTATCTCCGTCTTTCTCCGCGTCATCAGTAACGTCATCAACAACGACGATTATATCGTTTAGAAAATATTCACTAATATTGGAGGAAAAAATACTCCGAACACGTGACGTCGGTGACGTCAGTGAACGACCAACCGTCGAGGCCGGACTGAAATGCACTTTAAAAGGCTTCAAAGGCTTCAAAGACAAAGCTCCCTGGAAGTGAACGGATCCTTTGAAGACACTTTAAAAAAACCAACATCAATATTTACCGACTGGGGTCGCTGCATTCAGCCCAGTGTCAGGTGTCGGTCCAACTGGTGCAACTGGCGCGAGGGTGTCTGTAGCAGTGCGCGTGCGTGTGAACGTGTGTCAGTGACAGAGAGACCGGCCGCGGGAGAATAGTGTGTTTTATCAGATCTAAAAGAAGACCTGGAAGAAGTGTAGGATAAACGCTGATGGGTAAACGATCAAGCACTGCATCACATCGGACACCGGACACAATATATATATATATATTTTATATATATTTTATATTTTACATATTTGCAATACACACGAGGAAATGACGTATTTAATTTGTTAATTTGCGCACAATAGGACGTTGAGAAATATAAATGAAACATTAACGAAATGTAAAATTCAAATATAAAATTTAGAAATACATACTATATATTTATATATATATTTTGACCGTAAGTTGGATTTAATGTTTCGACTAAATCTAGTAAAATACGAACTAATTCAAATAAATAAAATATATGTATTAATATTTATATATTTAGGATAAATATATATAAATAAATAAATAACAGTCGGTGAAATGATTGGATTCGGAATATGGCCGTGTTGTGCTGGAAGGTCAGGGGTTCGAGAACCCCTGACTGGATTTAATACACAACACTGCGCGTGTTTGTGTTTGTGCCGCAGTATTTATGAGGGCACATATTGTGTGAATACACCTGGAGAAACGGGGGGTCGTTCGGGGCTGTTATTGTTCGGTCACACATGAGCAACGTGGACGGTTTACACACAGGCAGCGTCAACTGTGACACGGTGAAAGTGTGAGAGCAAAAAAAAAAAAAAAATCGCTGTGGAATATTCCTTTCAAATATATAGTTTATTTGACATGAAATTATATTGTAGTTAACAAATATATATGTTTAATTATAGATGTTAATTTTAAGGCGGTGTAAATCAAACTATGTTTTAGTTTCAATTATTTATAACTCCCGACAGTTAATCCAAACGTTTCAGTTGTAAAAAAAACGTTTCAGAATTGAATAAGATTTAACGCAGTTTTTCATATTATATTTGAATTTTTAAAGTCTATTATAAAGAGATTTTTTTTATTAAGATAAACTTCAAATGTAAAGTGTAAAGACATTTTAAAATATTACTTCAACTGAAGTGTGAAGTCATTTCACTACTATATACTTCAAATATTTACAAAATAGCAGCACCGAATACCGGAAGTGTTGACTGGAGAATTGATGACGTATTTTACTGATAACAACATTTACTTCAAATGTCCCCAAAAAATGCCTTTGTTTTTGTCTCCGACACCGAAACGTGAAGCGGTGAATGTTGACCTACCAGGAAAGGATCCATGTAATTCCAAACTTGTCCAGAGGAGGGGAGTCCTGACAACGAAGCCAAAGAGAGAAAGACAGCGGAGCGATGGA